CTGGAATCGATAAGGGAATCGTTTGCAAAAATGGCAAACAATTCCAAGGAATTGAAACAGTGGGAACCGGTTCTCAACAAGAACCGGTTTTCGATACCCATCCCTAACTGTGACACGAGTCTCAGATCATATTTACAGGAACTCTCTGTGTCTGCCACATCCTGTCGTGTAGTCGGGGGTGCTGTTTTTTCAGACTGAAGGCTAACAGTGAGGATGAGGGTACATTAAAACAAATGATGGAACAGCGCAGAGAGGAAAAGGCTGCTTTTGATTCTCATTTGCATGACAGCCACTGGTAAATTGAGTCAGGCATCAGAGCTGATGGTGCTGCTCTACCAACGTGTGTGTGTTAATGTGTTTTTGCCAATGCTAAAGAGAATTTCACTGGAAGAATCATGCAAATCCACTCATTTTTTCCCTCTTTCTGCTTCCAGGTCAAATACAAGATGTGCCCCTAGGCCAAGAGGAAGTGGCGCCTCGGGTTGAGGTGACCCCTGAACTTGACCTGGAAGTGGTTCCTGAAGCAACAGGAGACTGGCCGAACGTCTTCTCCTGACCGCAGCCCGCATGACTGCCAAGTATCAGAAAGCACTGCAGAGTCTCATGAGCACTTACTGGCTAAACAGCAAAGCTTTGCCAAACACAATAATCCTCTGAAAGGGGCTGTGTGGCTGGAAACGGATTTGAGGCTCCACCATAAGCTGAAGTGAATAGCGTTCATCATTTCTTTTCGTTACTGTTCTGCTCGGATCTCGGCCTTCACGTGGATGTTTCTTTGACACCTGGCACCCAGCTAAGCTTTGTTGCCGACCAGATACACCTCTACTCTCCGGCCTACTTCTGCAGGGCAGTGGAGCCCTGCCACCTCTCAGAAATTACTCAAGAAACTTCTCAAAAAGCCCTTCAAATTCCCCAAATCCCACTTGGATTGTGCAGCTACAATCTGAACTGGGAGAACTCCAGGGCCCACCCGACTGTGGACAAACACCCCCATAGCTCCTGTCTCCATCTAAAAATGGGTCAGAGCTATTTCAGAAACACAAGGAGGACCTGCACAATATCAGTCAGGTGGTCTTAATGCTGTACATTCAAGTCCTCTGTCCTTGTAGCGGTCCCTGGCTGTTTATTCAATTCAGCATCAAAGCAAGGGGAGTCTGGCTCCCTCTGATTGGCCTAATGACTTTTATCCGTTCTGCTGCGGTCTGATTGTCATCAGTATGATAACCGCTGGAGAGGTTTGGTTCAGGGAACACGGGCATCCTAGATAAGTCTCCACTCTGGAGACAGAGGTCTCCCTCTAATGCCGGCCCTGCTGGAAATAGAGGAAACTGGAGCGTGCTGCAGAAACTCCCCAGAGACCAGTGTCGTCTCTTCTTCGGTGGTGTGCTCACAGGGAGCTGCAGGCAGCTTACCGCTGTCATGGCCTAAAAGCAACCGTCTTACAGTACATAAGACAGAAAGCACTTCTTTTCTACTGGTTTACTTTTGTCATATTTATACTGTACATATTTCATCTCCGAGTGAAATGTTTATTTTCGATTGATGTTTTAGTTTGAAAACAGCGGCTCACTGTGAAAGCTGCGCCTTTTTCCAGGTTCTTGATTGAGGACTGCAACACTTTTTCTTTACTGTGTCTCACTTTGTAAATAGTGTAGTTAGATGGCGTATATTTTTTGATGAACCACCACAACACAGATTATTGGATATATATAATTTGAGCATTAGGTTGCATTTGTTATGAAGCAAAGCCAATGTACAGCTGTTTCTTCTTCTTTTCTATCGTCCATAATAAGTTAAGATTAAAGTAATTTTTCTACTAATTAAAGCTGGTTGTTTGTTCATTACTATGAATTACAGATAGAATAAACTGTTTTGCCGTTATCGGCTTTGTTGCCAAGAGTCAAATGAGGACAGTTGCTTTTGCACAGGGGGAGCATTCAGGCAATATAAAAAGGCGGTCCCCTGCTGATTTTGTGCTGCTTATCTGAGTCAGTGTGCAAGCAAAAAAAAAAAAAGCTATAGCTATCAAGCTATTTTTATAAACTGCCTCTGCAGGTGCGAAATGTGACAGGGAATGTGCTCATAAGTCACTCAAGACCTGCACACTAGATTTTGGCGAGTGGATTCAAACAGAGCAATTTTAACAAGAAAATTCCAGAAGGCACCTGGAGTTATAACCGTGGTCGGCTTGAGCAACGAGCCTGGCCTTGCTCTGATTTGTTGGGTAGAGGCAGTGCTTCTACATAAAAATACAAAGTAGCTGTTTGCTGGATTTGACCCAACACCAGCGTTGAAATAGAACGAGTCAACAACAGTTTTTTGGACCAAACATGATGTAATCTATTTACTGGTGAGCTTGTGATCTGGATGTAGGAACTCCTGGCACAATTTTCACACAATTAAAATGTCTTTTTTTTGTCTCTGTACAAAACCACAGTGGGGATTTTAAATCAAACAATCAATATGCGGTTGAAGTCCAGACTTTCAGCATCTCGAGGGAGGAAACTTCAGCTTATAGATGTCAGGATTTTCATGCATGTCTTAAAAACAGACCTTATAATTAAAATCATACTCCAGAGCATCTGGAAATGGGGTCAACATATTAAAAATGGTTGTAATTCCTGAACAGTTAATGCAGTACTTTTCTTAAAGTCTTTGAAAGTCTGCACTTCAATCACATCCTGAGTGTTTGATAAAGTCCACAGCAAACTCTGGACCTATCTGTACCTCTTTGCTATATCGTCACATAAAACAGACAAATATCCATGTTGGGTAACTCCATCCTGTTTTCCATTAACCTCCCCATTCACTGTGCAACTACAATAGATTTCCCCAGTTTCAAATTAGAACTCGTACAGCTGTTACATGGCTGGTGTTTCTGTGGCCTCTGATTCACTTTTGAATAATCACTCCAAAATGACACGGAAAAGGAAGAAAAAAACATGTTTAGAGGGCCGTGTTTATCTACTTTAATTATGAAAGCTGTGGTAAAGAGAATTTCACATGTATCCTCTTGGGGGAAATGCATTCATACTTTCAATGTTCCAGCAAGCTTTTATACTTCAGTAACTTCAGCATGACATGAAACTGCATATACTCTGTGTGATTACACATGTGCTAGAATAGCGAGCAGGTACTCCATCTGCTCCGGTCATGAGCTCGGAAAGCTTGGCCCAAATAGTGATTACCGGGTGAATCACGAATTTAGGCTTAATGGGAAAAAAAAAAGACTGGCATGTCTTTGTTTGGCGTGACCTTGTTACATCACTTTGTTTCACTGTTTTTTGTTGGGGTTTTTTTGTTTTTTTTAAAGATGCATCATTTGCTGCTCTAGACAAAAAGACACAATGCAGTCAGTAGAGCTGGTTTTATATATTTATATATATATATATAGATATATATATATTTTTAAATGTTTTATTCTCAGTTAAGTGGCAGGACATGTTTTATTACACATACAGTAATGAGGAGGAAGTTTACATTCATTCTCAGGGTCCTTTCAGAACAAAGAAAAACAACACAGCTCTCAGAAGGCTCAAGCAAACAGGGGGCGGGTGGGGACGCTGCAGATCACACATGGCTGCTTTTGGAAGATGGATGGATCAGCACTAAAGTGGTGCTGCTGAGCTTCTTCTTCTTTTTCTTGTTTGTTTGTTTTTTTACAGAAAACTCACAAATTGTCAAAAAGAACAAAAACACCTCATAATGTGTCATTACAAAGTTAGTTACAGAGCACCTTTTTGAAATTGTGTGTTTTTTATTATCCACATGAAGGAAAAAACAGCACATTGTATTTGGTAGTCAGGAGGAAAGGCACTTATTGTTGAGCTTTTTTTTTTTTTTAAATGAATTCAGTTTACAGTATCTGTGCCAAACAGGAGACAGAAGCAATGAGATGAGGAGACTTACAGTACACTAAAGCATTGAAGAAAGGAATGTGGCATCGTGATTCAGATTCAAGGTTTTAAAAAAGGTGGAAAACTGCACTGTTATGTGTGGACAGGTAGATTAGTCATTATCTCATACACTGAAAAAGACTACAGGAGAAACTCAATTTAGAAAATTTAGAAACTTTTACAACAAAACTCCAGATTCAGCCTTAGGTCCTATGATGACAAACGCAGATCAACGTACATGTAGGACAGGACGCTTAACTTAAGTGACGTAGACAGCGTGACGAGACAGAAAACCGCTCTTCTCTAAAACAGAAGTGACCCGGTCTTTTCACCCGATCGGCAGACGGCAATGACGGTCAAGTCAGTCGGACTTGCACCGGCCCTAACCTTCAGCTCTCCGGGTCTGCTTCAGTTTTAGCCACCTTGTGTTAGAAAGAAATACATGGAGACGTCCACAGAAACCCAAATACACATGTATATATAGAGGAGTGGGGGCGTTCAGGCTGCACATGTGAGCGGCTTCGGGATCAACTTCGGCAAACGGTTCACACCGGTGATGATGACTGCATAGACTTAGCACAATGCAATGCAGGGAAAGGAGGGAGGAGACAGATTGTGTCGCTATCTACCAGCCAAAAGAGTGTTTGGGGCGGTGGGGGTGGGGGTGGGTGGAAAGAAATGAGGGATTTAGTGAGCATTACAGTGTTAACAGAGGTGGAAGGGAAGGTGAGTCTAAGGGATGACTAAGATTTCCTCGTTTTCTTCCTCTTTTTTTTTTTTTAAACACCCCCCGTGCTCTTGAACGCCTTCCGTCGTGCTGTTGGAAGGGGCTGTACAGATGGACCTCAGCGTTTGGCTGGAGAAGCACTCCTGCTTCCCTGCATAAGACAAGACACATGATGAATATGTGCACATGACATGTCGGCTTCAGCACTAAAAGAGAGCCCTCCGGTCATTTTGCACAGAGTGTAATTACAGTATTCACTTAAGCACTTTGCAGACAAATCCACGAATAGATCATTCAGCTAATAACTTCTGAATGAAAAAAAACAGCCTTCACTGTGAATGACGGTCATTATAAACCATCAGCCTTGTGAAAAGATAAGCTGCCCAGATAAGTTGCTGTTTCTCTTTTGAATACATGATTTCATCAGCTTTCCATTAAGCCTGAAATTGACACACATTGATGAATTAACCAACCTTCAGGCTTTTTATCTCCCATACGTTCTCAAACTGAACAATGACCTTAACATTAACAAGTCTGAGTAATCATTTAAGGTGAGAATTGAGCAGGTTAGGCCTCGGTCACACAAGCCTAGAGACCAGCCAATGACCTCCCGGAAAACTCCCCCGGACTGCTGGAAAAACTCACAGCCCACACAATCTTAAACCTTTACTCTAATCAAAATACAAGAGAAAGTGATGCATTTGCTTGAAAATCGTATTAGCTAAAGTTAAAGTCATAAGCAATGTGTTAAGACCAATGTGTCACCCACCTGCATCTGGAAAACAAACTTCAATACAAGAGCAGTAAATTTAGGTCAGTGTAATGAGTAATATCACAAACTAACCACCTCCTCTGGCCAGTTTTCAAGTTATTTTTTATATAAATGCATTTAGATAACAATGTAACTGAAACATGTAACTGTTTCCATGGTCTAAGGAGCTTGGAAAGAAAAGCGTCTGGACTTCTTTGAGCTGCTTGAAGACGTTTCACCTCTCATCCGAGAAGCTGCTTCAGTTCTAAGGTCAAATGGTGGAGAGTCCCAGATTTAAGCCCAGTGTATTTCAGACTCAGCAACACACTCAGACACAAACTGGTTCATCCAAAAGACAAAACTCCTAAACACAAACTTAACAATGTGGTGTATGCTGTACAGTGCAGCGAGGAATGCCCAGACCTCTACATTGGAGAGACCAAACAGCCACTTCACAAGCGCATGGCACAACATAGAAGAGCCACCTCCACAGGACAAGACTCAGCTGTCCATCTGCATCTAAATGACAAAGGTCACTCTTTCAAGGATGCTAATGTTCACATTTTGGACAGAGAGGACAGATGGTTTGAAAGAGGAGTGAAAGAGGCCATTTATGTCCAGTGTGAGCGACCATTTTTGAACAGAGGCGGTGGTTTACGACACCAACTGTCTGCCATCTATAATCCAGTTTTGAGATTCCTTCCTAGACGCCTTAACACCCACTCACATCCTGGGCCATCTGACCTCAGGAAATCACATGATAGGGTGGGGCCAGGATACACAATGAGCTCACCCAAAACCCTGGCTGATTGTGACCCACACCCGTTTTCATGCCTTGGCTCATGTGATTAGGTAGAGGATCATCAGGGGGTCCTTTTGTCCCTCTTTGGGGGGAAACTCCCACAGGGCTTAAATCTGGGACTCTCCACCATTTGACCCTCAGAACGGAAGAAGCTTCTCGGATGAGAGGTGAAACATCTTCAAGCAACTTAAAGAAGTCCAGACGCTCCTTAGACTGCGATGACCTGGATGACTGAGAACCTTCACAGAGATGCTGTTTCCATGAAAAAAAAAGATTTAGAATTATGAGAAAATGTGTCAGAATCTAATATATTTAAGCAATGTTGTGCAATATGGCAAAACGTCTGATGCTGAAGTAAAAGTGATTATGCAAGTGACAGATGTGAGTTTCAAAATGACACAAAGTAAAAAAAATGTGTGAACGCACAACAGAATTGTAAGAAAATGAAACAAAACTAGGGAAAAAGTCTGTGAAAGGTATCAGTCAGAGTTTGTAAAAGATGGGGCTCATCCAGCACAGAGGAAACATGAGAGCAGGATAGGTTGAAGATCGTTGGCCAGTTGCAAATACATTTGCTTTGTCATCTTCAGAGCAAAGATTTCCAGTCACCCATTGATTTTCATTCCAAAAAGAGTCCAGAGCAGACAGA